CTTTATCCAACTAAACAAACGAACATCCCCTCTTTATAAACAACATAAATGATAGATTTAGTTATGTTCATCGATTATGAATTAAGGATAAATTTATCATAATCTATGTTATTTATATACAATGTAACTTTACGTAACTTTATCAAAATATTATTTTTGATTCTGTTGATGTAAATTTATCCCTCAAGTTTCAAAATATGAAAATCAAAAATATATAGCGTGTGGTTAAAAGTAAAATCCAGTAAAAAATATGAATATAAAATTTGGGTTTATAAAAAACCAATTAAAAAAAAGGTTTTATTATATGGTGATTGTTGGTGATTTAATATATGGTAGCATTTGATTTAATATATGATGATTGTTGAAAAAAAACAATTTAAAAAGAGAAAGGTTTTATTATCAAATAAAAGAGTAACTCGAGTGTTAAATTTACATTAAATTGTTAAAGCAAAACAGACAAACGACACCGCTAACGGACAAAGACAACGATCAATAATATGAACAATTATGTAAATTTATCACTCATGTTTTAAAATCCAAAACTCAAAAAATATAGTGTGGTTAAAAAGTAAATTCCGGTAAAAAATATAAATATATAAAATTTGGATTTATAAAAAACCAATTAAAAAAATTATTATCAAATAAAAGAGAAATTCGAGTGTTAAATTTAGATTTTATTGTTAAGGGGATAAATGACACCGCTAACGGAAAAAAACAACGGTCGATCCGAATTGTTTACATAATTATGTAAATTTCTCATTCAAATTTCAAAAATCCGAAAATTAAAAATCTATGTCTAATAAAAAAATATATCAAAGTAAAACCAATATTTATGCAATAGATTTAGGAAAAAAAAATGAGAAAATAATTCTCACCATGGCCTCTAGATACATTCCTGATTCGTCCTTACACAAATGTGAATTATTTAAATAATTATGTAAATTTTATTACTAACTTAAGTTCTAAAATTCCATAATTTATATTTAGTTCTTTGACAATTTAATTTGAAATAAAAGAAAATTACATATACCATAAATAAATATTTACAAATTTTGTGATTCAATTATATAAAAAAATTTAATTACAAAATTAAAAAAAAAGATAATTTATTACTTTCTTTTTGCATATTGAAATTTGACAAAAACAAATATATATGTGAAGCTATGACAATTATTTTGACCAACCAATGAGTGGTTTTTATCATGCCTTAAAATATTTTCTTGCATTACTCATCTCAAATGTAAATTTTATTGGTTAAAGATTCATTAAATTTTGAAAAATTATTAACTCATCGAAATAATTCAAAATCAACATCAAAAATAAATAAATTTCAAAGTTTATTTTCACAATTATCATATATTTCTCAAAACAAAATTTCAATCACAACTATGTGGGAAAAAATAATTGAAAAAAAAAACTCCAAACCATATTACAAAAAAAAAACCAAAAGATGAATACAGTCAAAAGGTGAAAAACATAAGAGACAGGAAAGAAAAAATGAATTTTTTATCAAATAAAATTTTCTCAACAAGATAATAAACATGTATCTAAGAAACGTTTAAGTAATTGATACAAAGGGAAGATCACATTTATAACCTTTCAAAGCTCTGATATCAAATTGATTTGTACCATATTACACACAATATCAAATTGTTTAAAAACACAAAATTTTCAATAAGTATGCTATCTTACACATAATATCAAAGTAAAACCAATATTTATTTATTTTTGGTCGTCAAGTAAAACCAATATTTATGTAATAGATTTAGAAAAAAAAATGAGAAAATAATTTTCACTATGGCCTCTAGATACGCTCCAGATTCGTCCTTACACAAATGTGAATTATTTAAATAATTATGTATTTTATTATTCACTTAAGTTCTAAAATTCGAAAATCAAAAAGCATATAACATGGTTAAAAGGTAAAATTCGAAAATGTAAGAAACAATTGAAAAGATAAAAAATTTTAATATAAAAAAAAAGAGAAACTCGAGTTAAATTTACGTTACATTGTTAACACAAAATGGTCAATGCCACCTCTAACGGTCAAAGACAAAAATCAATGGCAGGATATCATGTCCGGATTGTTTTCACAACTTATATAAATCTTATCACTCAA